TATATATTTATGTACCATTATTAATTTGTTTGTTTCTTTAGTAATAAATTTTTGTATTTAAATTGATATTGCACTTTAATATTTTAAAAATATTAAGTAAATGTAAACTATAAACTCATTCCTAATGAATAAAAATAAATACTATTTTATATTGTTGAATAAATATCAAATAATTATGGTTTTTATTTTTAATATTATGGACTGGATTTGTTAATAGTCTATTAAGTGTGTGTTTGATATAAGCTAACTGGATGTGTATGTTGTGTATAGGTTATGATTGCCTAGTCACAATAAATCTCTAAAGATGCCAAAAAGAATAAATTCTGAATCTTTTTTTGATTCATCACTTTCAAATCTCCCCTTTAAGTAATGAAAAAAATTTTTTAATTGATATTTTTTTATTAATATATTTGTACTGATTTAGTCTATTCAAAGTAATGCAAAGCAAGCCTTTAGGTATATTTGGCTTGTGGAGGTAATTTAAAAATAGATAAAATGTTCTTATAAAAGATCGTTTTAGGTTCTTCAAATTTGGCAAGCTCAGATATATTTGTTGGCTAGATATAAAACTCTGCTATGGTATTGCAATGATGTACCTTAAGGGTCTACTCGTGGCCTTTTTATTGGCTTACCAGCATAACCTAACCTATATATTTGTTGAATTGGTAGTAGTGAAGATCTGTTATATTTATTTTATTTGTCGATGTTTTGAAATTCAATGCTGGTAGCATGGTAGAAACAGTTGCTTAAAATAGCAGATTCTACCAAGAGCAATCGGGGCTATGTCCCGGAGCCACTGTTTTTGTGGTAGCCTATAGAGATCTAGAGAGAAGATACCACGAAAGAAATAACATGACGAATACAAGGATTAGAATATGGATAGGTGCTATTCGTCAATTTCGACGACCAAGTTCCATTCACCTTTCAGAATAAGGACTACATCAGCAGATCTCACAGGCTAACCACAATAACATTAAATTAATGTGCCTCAATAGTTGTATTGGTGCCTATTTCTAAGATTGCATATGAGTTGATGTTTTTTTGAGTAGTAACGATTCAATACCCAATAGTATTTATAGCATATATCTTTTTTATTATAAAAATTTTGACATGTTAACTTAATATGTTAGAAAGTATTTAGTATTTCTAATAGTAGTAACTGCAATTTAAGTTTCAGTTTAGGTAATTTAAAATATCGATGTACGTTTAAAAACTTTGGATTGATTTATTTAAACTCTAATTATTATTAGTATCACATTTAAATAATGAAGGTAGTTAATTACATACAGTTATATGTATATAAATAATTATTAAAGTAAATTGTTTCAGTGATAAAATATTAAAAAAATTCTTTATAATAAAAGTGGTATTATATTTTCAATAAACCATTGCTCTGACATTTGCAAATGATCACCTTCGACACCCAAAAAATCTAGTTTTCCGTCTAAATCTAGTTGTTCGAGTCCAAGCTGAAAATAAATAAAATTTGATATTGTAGTTTGTTTTTAAAAAAAGCTTTTTGTATTGAAAACATATTAATGATTTATATTCAGTTATTTTCAGTTTTGATATGTGACTATTTAATAGTCAAAGTATATGGACTATTAAAAGCACAAAATTATACTTACGCATTTATATACATGACTTTTTTTAAGCGGCAAAATTTCTTTATCCTGTCCAGGAGTATAAAATTCAAACCATTGAGATTCCTTAGGTTGCACAATGGTGTCATTTAAAAACTTCACCATAACAAATCTGTTGAAATGAGTTTTATTTATAATAATAGCCCATATTTTTTTAATAGTTAAATATACTTCTCCAGCTTATTTAAATTTTCTGCATAACGTTTATTGCAATCTAGTTCGTTGTTGATATCCACAAGGAAAGTGCTGCGAGAACGATATTCATCTTCACGCAAAGGATCGTGCCAATAAGTTGCTTGCACTAATTCCTTTTGTGTCCATCTATTAAATATAAATAAAATATAATATTAAAGTTCTTTTATACATAATAAATATCTACTCTTCATATGCTGCATAGTAAAGAATTTTGCGTATATATTCACACGTAGAAGTCTTTAGAGATGGGCATTTCGGTAAACCGAAAACACCTTGATGTTGACCACCCAAGCTTATGAGCATTTTCATAGGTGGATTCGGACAGCGCTGTGCTACCGCACGTCTAAAAAGTGTTTTATGAACATAAGTACTTTTTTTTACAAAATAAAATAAAAAACATACAAAAATTGTCCACCCTGGGAAAAACCAATAGCATTGTAACCATTAGCCAATTTTTTATCTTCAGAAAGCTGTTGACATACGTACTCCACTTGTTTGTTTGGATGTATAAAAAAGCCGCTTTGATAATCCATAACGATGTTACCACCAATCTCTAGGGACTTGACATAGGTTTTATTTGTATGCTCTTGTATTAATTTTTTAATGGATCCCAAACTAAATGGAAAACAGCATGTATCACCTATGATTAGCACAATTAAAAGTATTTAAATGTTAAATATTTTATTAGGGTATTTACCCATTCCATGCCACATGACAACAGGTCGGACTGTAGCTCCAACATAACTACAATAAAATATTAACAAAATTAAATATATACTTTTCATCATTAAATATATATAGCAATAAATTTGTCAATAATTTAATTTCAAGAACTTCTTTAGCTTCAATTGCAAACAAAGACTAATCAGATTTATTTTAATGCAATTTGACAGTTTATTTATAAATATTGCTGACAGTGTTGCGTGAAATCATAAAAGTACTTTTTGTAAAATGCAATTTTAAATTCATAGAGGAGTATAATTAATGTCGGTTAAATTTTGAAAGAATGTTATTAAAGTTTTATGAATATACATTTTTTATAGTATAAAAAATTATATTTGTATAATATATCTATTTTTTATATATTTTTATGTATTCCATTTTTTTAAGAAAATTTAACTTTTTTAAGAAAAAGCGGGTATCCATTGAACCATTAATTTCACAATCAAAATTATCTATAGTATTTTATAATTAATTCAATTCTAATTGTTTATATTATATTATAATATAATATTAAATTTGTAATTGTTAAGTGTTTACTTGAAATCCCTACAAACATTTCGACCGGGTGTTTTCCATTAGGTTCACTAGTTTTTTGGAATGTCTATTTATTCTTTCATTGTATTAAATATTTTCTCTGTGATTTTTCTTTAAAACTTAAATTCTATATTTTGTATATTAACGCCCAGATAATATTAGATAGATAAATTTAAAAAAATGTTGAACAAAAAACCATTTTTTTGTCGTTTATGTATATTAATTCAGTTCATACGATATGTTGAAGAATCATATTGAAAAACAAACCTAAAATCAAAATAATTTATTATTTAGTTTTCTTGTGTTTGACTATTCACTGAAAATTCAAGTCTAAACACTTAAATTTACTTCAGCATTTTTTACAATTTCTAACAAGCAAAATTATTTTTAAATTTGTAAGCTTTCAAATATTACCAATTTTGAATGGTTCAACTTTTAAATCATGGAATAAATAACAAATCTTAACTGTTAAGTTAAGTTTCGGAGATGCTGCATTGGTATTTTTATTAAAATACTTAGAGTATCACGTAACTTCTTCATTGATGAACTTAAGGAATATGTAGACTTATAGTACTAATAATGGCAATTTGGGTTAATACTCAGTATTTTAAAGGACTACTAAAGTTAAACTATAAATACACTCCTTTTTTCTGTCTATTAAAAAATAATGAGTTTTTGTATATAAAGTTACGATCAGCTGTTGTTGTGACTCTAGTGTGGTGAATACAATTTGTAACATCAATAAGGTAATTCAATAAGGGGTGATTATTTAATTAAGTGGTCTTACTAGAATCATGTGGTATCACAACATGCTAATTTGTGCGAAATGTGTGGGTTTCCAAATAAAAAAAACCAATGAAGTGGTTGTTATACTTACGACCATTGATATTTACCAACCTAGCTTTTCTAAAACCATTTTCTTACCATATCATAAAAATGGATAATACCTGTGATCTTTTGTAAATTGGTTCTTAAAGAATTTGTATTAAAAGTAACCACACAAAATTGCAGTTGAGTCATTTTTATTCCATCAAATATAGAAATTATGTTTGAGAGCTCAGTTCGGTGATTGTGATTGAAAAATCCAACTTAACTATTGCAATTTTTAAAGACATCATTATCCTATTTAAGTTTTTAACTTACTATTTCCACAACTCTCTATATATAAACTATATTTCTTTGTTACAATAATACTTATATTTATTTATAGACTAGAAAGGTTTATATGGTTTTATTGATTAATTAAATCTAATGTCTAAGACATTTTTAAATATTCTTGTTGGAATATATGTAAGTTCTGTATTTTAATTGTATGATCCTCTAGTGTACTCCATTTGTAGATCCAATAGCCTGTTGATGTTGTGCATGTGATGGATGTTGCGGCTTATTATTTGAGAAATCAATGCATGCACCTGAAGTTAAATCTATTTCCTCTGAATCTGAACCATCTGAGCCATCATCAGAACAATGCCCTTCAAGTGCTGCTGCCGCTGCCAGCATATGTGCATCAGACATGGAATTCATATTTAAATGTGATCTTAAAGTTCCATTTAAATTTTGATCAGTTTGTTCTTTATAAAGTTTAAGTTCAGTGTATGTTTTTTCACATCCATTTGTAAGTTTATCGTCATTTTCATTTGAAATTCGCTCTTGTTGACCTGCCATCTTATGCTGAGGATGTTGTTGAAAAGCGGGATGCATCATAGTAAAATTTGATGGTGGTGATTGACCGTTTGTGGCTGTCGTACCATTCATTTCACTTGATTGATTTTGTGTATCTTTACCATGTGAATTTGAAAGATTTTCAGGACTTTGGTCACTTAATCCAACCTGTGGACCATTTGCAGTACTAGCTGAGTTAGGTAAATTGGGGACTCTTCCTCCTAAGTCGCAAAAAAAAAATGTAATAATATTGATTAATTAATTAAATATTACTTCACTTTTTAAACTTATTATTAGAGCTTTATTTATAATGTATATTTTGTAAATTATATTTTATTTTATTATATTATTTTAAGTTAATTTATGTTTAATAATTATTAATTAATTGAGTTCTATTCATAATAATATAAAATTTCTAAAACAATAATAATAAAAAAATAATTTTGTGATTTATTTTACCGGGTGTCATAACTGGAGGGGTTCCTAAACTTAAGCAACGCATTCTCCATGCGTCTTGAAGTAATTGTAGTCGAGCTTGCTTTCGCCATTTTGCTCTGCGGTTTTGGAACCATACCTGCAATAAATAATTAAAATATTAAATAAAATTAATGAAATATTAAATTTTTTTTAGTTTAAATTATTTTTTAAAAAAATATTTATTTAAATTATTACTTCATTCATTGCATATTTTATATTAACTTTGACATTATTAATATTAATGTTAAATTTTTATTATAAGATTTTTAATTTATGTTTTTTTTTTCTTTATAGGTACGAAATGATTTTATTAAATATATACATATGCTCCTTATTGTACTATATTATTTTATTAAATATACACATGTTTTTAATTTTGGGAATATCTTTTTTAAAAATTATTTCTCTAAGACAAAGTTTTTATAATCTAAAGGACTAAAATAATTTAATTTGAAATTTATAAAATTTTTTTTTAATAAAATTTATTATTAATATTTTTTTATAATAGCGAAAAAAAATTCAATTATTGTTGTTTTGTTATTAAATATATATAAATTCAACTATAAAAGTCATATTCGACCAGTTAAAGTCCGGAAACACAAAATATAATATAAAATATAATGAAAAATTAATTTTGCTTTTACGGTAGAGAAATAGATTCTCATTTAGGTCTTAAGAAATGGATCGGTTATGGTACCAAAGTGAAATTTTAGGTACGATTTGATTATTTTGATTATAAATTATTTTTTTTAATAAGAAAATAATTTTCGGAATGAAATTTAAATGCATTATATACAGTTATCTTGTAACCAATTTATCAATTTAAGATTCTTTCATAAAGAAAAATCTGAGAACATATTGAATTATATGTCTGGTGGCAGTTTGCCGCTTTAATGACAACTAAATTTTCTCACAGTTTTTAAGTAATAAATTAATAGTTAATTAATAAATTATCAAAAATATTATTTATCGATAATTACGAAACAACACATAATGATGAAGTTCTTAGTAAGATCTATAGTCCTCTATGACTCAACTAACGTATTCGAATAAATCTTGAGCTATACGAGTTTTAACATGATATTGATAGTGAATAAAGACTTAGTGGTACGCTGGTTCGGTCACGTCGTGTGAATGGATAAGTGTTGGAAGAAGTAGTCGGGAAAAAAGTTATGGCGAAAGTATGTCTTTGGTGAAGTAATTAAATTGAGTGTGTACTGATTGGATTTGGTGTATTAGAAACTTGAAAATAGGTTGCTGTAGTCAAAAACCTGGTCACGTAAGTCTTGAAATATATTATTATATATTTATTAATATGTTATTATAATATATGTAATTTCAATTTCCTAATTTTTTTCATTATTATTTATTTTATTTATTATATTATTCCAATGATTTTTTAATTCAATTTAATTTTTTAATGAATATATAACAATAACACATATAACTGCCATTAGGTCTTAATTATTTTAAGATTCTTTTTTATAATATTCAATTTAAATATTATTTCAATTTTGAATGTAAATTTAGTTATTTATATATATAATAATTACTTTTTCTATATCTTTTAAAATCATATTTTTATTTAAATAAAATTTTTAGTCATATTTTATTATTGTATGGTAAAATTATAAGGCAAAATTAAATTGGTGGTAAAAAATAATTATTTAAATATTTTTTAAATTTTTGGTTTATTTATATAGTTCTGTTAAAAATTTTAAATTACTTAAATAAAGTAATAATGAAGTAATAATAAATATTAACATAACCCGTAACTTTTAACAAATTTTTCCTTTTTCCTTTTTTGTTTCTTTTTTTTATTTTTTTTATTTATTCTTTTATTTAAATTATTTTAATGAATAAAATAAATTCACTTAATAAAAATTTTAAAGTCTTTTTAAGTTTTGTGTTGTTTTATCATTATTAGATATAATTGAAATATTATTTATGAATTATTACACTATTTTATTACTTAATAATATTTCTTTTATGTTTATTATTTAATTTTTTTGAAGGATTTTGATGCGATGTTTTTTATTCATACATTTTTATTTTTATTTATTTAATCTGTAATTAAAAATAAAAAATTCCGTACCAATAAATCTTTAAAAAATAGGTTATTAACGTGCAATTAAGTTTTATGCTTTAACTTTCCATATTTTATATATAAAAAAATTTAGTTTTATCATTTTTATACTTTTTTGTGTTAAATCTAATAATGTTTCTCTTTTCTTTTTAATAATTTTAACTGGCATTTATAAGTTGAAAATATTGTTTAAGTTATATTATTTTTATATAATTTATTATGTGTTTTAAATTTTGCCGGGCTTTAGGTCGTGTTTTTTAATTTATATTTTTATATAATAACTTATATTATATAAAAAACAAAGTACAAATACAATTGTATGTGTATAATGGTAATAACACTGATAATAGTCTACGAAGTAGACCGAAATAGTTGTTAATAATATATATTACATAAGTTAATAACTGTGATATATTTATTTATTCTTAAGTTTGTTTTTTATATAATATAAGTTATTATATAAAAATTTAAATTTAAAAACACGACCTAAAGCCCGGCAAAATGTAAAACACATATGTATTGAGGTCGATATTAATAGAAATAATTATATTATATTATAATATTATTATTAAGTTCCAAAAGTTAATAATTAATTCAAAAAATTTAAGTTAAAGTTAGAATTCTTGTAGTATTTTTTTCGTTTTGAATAAAATATAATTTTTTCTTAAGTTTTTAACGTTTTTATTTATTATGCAATTTATTATGCGATTTTAAATAAAGTTATTTACATTTTTAATTTTTTATATATTAACATTGCTTTCAAAATTATTATTTAAAAAAACCAAATTAATATTGGTTGTTCAATATTTTTTCGATGGATTTTTATATATTTTTTTTACTAAAATAAGTTTTTCATATTTGTTAATTTACTTTAATGTTTAACTTAAAAATTCCAAAAATTTTTATTTACGTTATTAACACAAGTTTAATCAAATTTATATTTTTTAATTAGTTTTTTTTAACCAACTAATAACACATAAATTTTTATTTCAAAAATAATTTTTATTGCTAATAATAATAACGTATTATATTATTAAATTTTTTATTTTTTTTACATTTATGTAAATTTTTAATTTAATAATAATTTTGATATTGATTTATTATTGTATCCAATAATTATTCTCAACAAATAAATTATTGGTTTTTTTATTATATCATTATATATAATTTTTATTATTTTATTATACTTTTTATAAATAGTAATTATATTTTAAATATTTTTTAAATATTTAAAACGAGTTAGTGACTTAAATTATTTGTTCTTTTTAAGTTTTTTTATTTTTTTAATTTTCATATTTCCTTATATTTAATTTTATGTCCTTTATTTTTTAACACACATATTATCATTTTATTTTATAATTATATTGTATTATTATTATTTTATCATTTGAAGAAACAAATAAGTTTAACTTTGCATTGTCGATTATCACCTGTACTCGGGCTTCGCTTAAACTTATGCGTAAGGCGACTTCTTCACGAAGAAATACGTCAGGATAATGGGTTTTCTGAAAGAGTGCCTCGAGTTCTTGCAATTGTTGTGGCGTAAAGGTCGTGCGATTTCGTCTTTGTCTACGTCGACCAAACATATATTCGGTTAACAGATCACCTGGCAAAGGCGAAAGAAACGGACCTGCCATATTATTAAAGTTTTTTAACAAAAGTTAAATAAAAAAATATTCAGACGCGGTAATTCGAATCCTTGTAGTTTTTTATTGATGCCGAACGATGTTATTAGTTGCACGTTCCGGCAGCAACTGTGCAATTTATGTGCTATCAAAAGTCTTTTATTGCATCTGTGCTAATACGTCCTTTTGAGTCCATATTTACTATTGTGTGTTGTAATTAGTAGCGCGCCCGATTTGCACACGAACAATATCCTTACTTAACTGACGTTAGCGTCGGAAAATATTGCAAATTTACGAATTGGATTTCAAAAGCGCGCCTTACGCATGCATATTCAGCATCCTTTCCCTTGTGCTCATTTAAAATTTTGCACAACTTTCTGCTGTGCTCTCTCTCTCTCTCGCTCTCTTTGTGTATGATTTGTCCTTTATATTTTGAGATGCTCAATGTTTGTTTTTGTTTTCTTTCTTATACTTTTTTTTTAATTTCAATTTGATTTTGTTTTCTCTCAAGGCTCTATTAATATAAAAATAATTTGTTTATGGAGATTAGATTTTCATTTTTTCCCTGCTTCCTAAGAAAGCAAGTTCAGGAGCGAATTTAAAAATTTTTATGATGTTATAGAAAAAAATTATAAAAATAAGATGAAATTTCAATGAATATTAAAATATTTTTCCTAATTTGAAGTAGTTGTGACATCACTTTTTTATTATTTTTAATTGGTGAATAAAACGGATGATATGTGAATGAGCTCATTCACATCAGCCTTCGTATTCATCTATTTTTACTAATATTTTTATAATTCTTCCATTTTAAATAGAAAAAGTTAGAAAATTTTAAAAAATACAGAAATTAAGTTTATTATTGGATGTGTCCCTGGCAGTAGTTAGAGAAGTTAAGAGAAATACTTATTTCCACTTTCCTCAACTTGCCAATAACAGATGTAAAACATTTAAGTTATGTGCAACTTCCAGATTAACAAGGCCCACCTATAATAAAATTAGATCTTCGGAACTTATCAAAAGAGACTGCGTGAACACTACAAGGCTTACTGCAGTACTCTCTGGTCGTTGGTGTATAGGAACCCACGCAGAGCAGCTTTTAGGAAGATACTTCCTTGACGGTTTATCAGACTCTTCATCGGTGAAGACAAGAAAATGAGTAAATTATCTAAATTTTACGGGATGGATTTAATTTCTACTCTTTTATAGTAGGGGTTCTTGTGAAGAATGTGGTAGCAAAATGGCGAAAAATTGCTAATTGAAGTACACAGAAGTTATCCAATGGCTTGCCATTGCAACCAACCAACCAAGATTATTATACTATGTTTATAGGGTGCTTAAAACTGCTCCAGAAAAAGTTTAGTTTGTTGTAGTTGCGGATATACAACATAAATAATAAAGCTAAAAAAATATTTATTTAGTGTTATTTCCTATTAATCATGAAATCATTGAGAATTTTCAATAAACTTGAAATATATTTACACCTATTGTATTAGAGCAAAATCCTGTCTGCGTTTCGAACGATGTTTATATATATATATATATATATAATGTCTATATATGCTTACCAATGTATTGAAGGTAGGTTAGGTTAGGCTAGATTGGCGGTAAACGGAAATCTTTTACACGACCTCATTAAGAGACGTGATTTATTTCTAAAAACATATAATTTAAAGTCAATTTCGAGAACACATTTTGTGGTCCTTGACGCATCGTCACTATGCCTTCACAACAGTGTTATGCGCGGTTTACACGGGCTAAGAACGATCCCCCTCGTGTGCCAGACACTTTCTACCGCGGAAGTTTAACGGGAATACTTTAAGGCAGGCTTATTGTGTTGGTTATACATTAATAATTTTCTTCACTAGCTAAGTCTTGTTAAGGTATATTTGTTTACCCCTTCTTCGAAGTTATTAAATTTCGAGATCACATTTTTTTCGTTTGAGTATGATCGTAACGAATCAGTATCATTTTCGTTGCGATATTTTTGACGGTTATTTTACAAACTGTTGTTTCAAGTGACATTCTTTCGATAGAATCTGGTGCATCTGAAAATGGTGTGTTTAGCGCTGTCTTCGTCTGTATCTTCATATATACATTTTGGGTTATTTGCTTTTCCAATGCAAAAATTTTAGTAAATATCTATGACGACAAAGGCATTGGGTTAGACAATAGTTTACTTCTGTAGTTTTTCTACATCTGGGATCAATCTTGCTATCCATCTTCTTTTTGTTTCTTCAGTTTCGTATATCAAATAGAACTGTAATACAAGCAATAATATGTTAAATCTTTTATAATAAAAATCGTCTAACACTCGCTGAGCGTGTTATGATTATGAGAATTTTTAATAAAAATGGTGATTCTGTTGTAAATATGTCTAAAGAATTTTCTTTAGTAGTGATATTCATTTTTCGCTTGATATCTGGGGTAGTGAAAACGTACAAGTAACTGTCAAAAGATCATTGTATTGACAAAAGTCTATGTACAGTATGGCATTTGGCAAAGATGTGATATAAACTAATCTATCCGATGCGCTTACGCAATAGCCCCACGCTCTCCGCCTACCTTTCTTTCCCTCATACCACGTTTATGCCTTTTTAGGAAAAGCTGGAGTTCTAGTACCAAGCCTCTTTACCTCAATTATTCCACTACTTACTGGAATGAAGTTTTTCAACACTGCCCTGTGGGTCATATTGCCATCAAACTGATGGCAACACCGTATTCATATTTTGTTTTAAGATAGTTGGTACGTTTTGCCGGTCGAGGTCACGATTAAAAAATATCAGAAAGTAGATGAGCTAAAGAAAGCATTCCATCAAGAATAGATAAAAATTTCGCGAATTCAGCGTCATAGCTATATATTTCAAAGTGCTTATATCGACAACAATAATCATGACTTATTATTGAGATAGACTATAACAATTATCGTGTTCAGATATATAAAGTAATATATAGTACATATAGAATATATTACATATATTATATATATCAATGTAATTCAAATTTTGAATTAAATTGTTTTTATTGTTTTATATAAATATATTTTAATAAGATATTATAAATTCAAAATAATCAGTTCTATAATTATTTTATTTTATTTTAATAATCATTTAATTAATCAATTTTTTGCGTATATCATAAATATTGCAATGCTGCAATATCCTTGTCTCAAGGTAGTTTTCGCTCTTCATTGTATTTACAACAACCCCTGGCTTTTCTATATATTTTTATAAATATTTTGTTTCTATTTTCAACAAGTAAAGAAAAAAATATTACATTAAAAAATCAAATAAAACGAAAACTAGTAAAAGTTGAATGTGCCTAGTTGGCAAAATATATGAAGTTAAATAAATATGCCTGCATTCAAAAGTAAGCTTTCGATATACATACGCACAAAAATACATACATACACACATCTATATTTGCATTTAAACAAAAAAGCTACTCATCACTGACGTTTGACTGAGTGATTTTATTGTTTTCTCATTTTTACTTCGTTAAATTACCACACATGCACAAAAACCACTAACTCTCGGTGTTGATTTGATCAAAAGTTTGAAGAGAACAGTAGCACATTGCACATAGGGTTGAGTATGAGGTGTGATTTGGTTGGTGATTTATTAAACTTGATAAAGTTAAACTGGAATTCCTTTATTGCATATATATGTTGTTATGTTATGGGTGTGTGGGTATATATGTGTGCTGCTCAGTAAGTAATAAAATTTATTACACTTAAAATGCAGCCACCAATGCAGCAACCATCCCCCAGAGTCAATGGGGAATATGCAGTTGATATGGTGTAGCTTACAATTTTAAACAATTACAATGAAAATGAGGTTGCTGCCATTGTTGAAGCAGTTGTTGTTGTTTGTTGGTGTTCTTATCGCAATATATATACAGTTAACATAGGCGCTATGTTGTTGTTGTTAATAAAAACACAAAAAAAAACAGCAAGAAAAAAAATTAAAAGCTAAAAAATGCTATTGTATTTGCTAAACAAATGAAGGGATGTAATTTTCTCATTTGCACGTTTTGTTTTGTTGTTGTTGCCGTCGTTGTTGTGTCGTCATCTTAATAATTGTTGCTATTATTGTTACTGTTGTTGTTGTTGTTGTTTGTATTTTTTGTATCTGTTATCCTTGTGAGGAATACTTGTCGCAATAATAAATGTTGGAAAGGGGGCAGCGCTTGCGCTAAAATTATATTTATTTATTATTTCACAGCAACGGCAGTTTATGTTGTTGTGTAATTGTTATTGTTGTTTATATATTTTTTTTTGTTTTTGTGTGTGGCACAATAGGCGGAGCGGTCGTAGTTTTAACATCCAACATTAAAGCCAATCATAAGCAAGTGTGTGTGCGAGTAGCACACGAATAAATCCTGTGCTTTACTTTTTCATTAAAATTATGAATATTATTTTGTATTGTTGTTGTTGTTGTTGCTGCTGTTGCTGTTATATGAATATTTGTAGTCGTTGTCGTTGTACATTGTTTTGTTGTTCTTGTTATTCTCCATTTTTAATTTTGTAATTTGATGTTGTTTATCCTCTGTGCTGTGTGAAATAAATGTTATTTGTTTGTAAATTTGTAAAAGTATGAGTATTTGTATTTGTATTTGCATTTGTATTTGTGCAGTAATAAATTTACACAAGCAAAATATTTACTTGCATGGAATTCATTAAGCAGCGTGTAGCGTTCAGCATTTGGCAGGTGTTGTGTAGATTAGTTACGTTGCCGCTGAAGTTGTCTCTACATACCTCCTGCTCTTTCAAGCCCTAATTATTATTTGCATAGGCGGATGCGCATATCATTGTTCTGTTGCTGTAATGGAGTAATATTTCTTTTTTACTTCTGTTTTTTGTTTTTAATTATGAAATCTTATTTTCTATTTAACATATTAAGGAGTTTTTATTTCTCATATTTCTAATGTTTACGGTGGTGAGCTTGAAAGGCGGTGAGTTTGAAAGATGAAAAGTTTAAAAGGTTGGAATTAATGAAAAATTTGTTAAGATAATTATAAGGGCAAACCATTACATAAAATGTTACATTTTAATTAAAAACTTAATAAGTATTAATAGTATTTAAATACATTCGACTCGTTTTATAAATATCTCCCTCTCTTTAGTATTCCCATAAAGTGGGTTTAAACATTTTGTTTTGATTACCGAACTATTGCAATGTCTTACAGGTCGAAATAAGGGTGATTCACTACCCAGCAAAATCGTC